TGTTTATTATACTTGATTAATTAAAATGACTCCTCTTATATAGACGACGATCAATACCGCATTGAAATTGAAGAGAGCGACCAGCCAATTCAAATGATTAAAGGACTCCCTACTTCACAAATTGCGCGCTCCAATCTTTCATCGCAATCCTGCGATAGGCGGCGGGTGCGGCGTGTGCGACGCCGTGTTAGGGGAGAAGTTCCCGGACCCGGGTTCCCAGGCACCTCACGAAGTTGTTTCCCTGAATTATGTGGGCGATGTACTTTCAGCATGAAGCTAGTTAGTCATACATTTACTCTTTGCATAACAAGTTAGTTAGATAGAAAAAGAACGCTTTACCACTTTTTTCAGTACCAGTAAGAGGGCTTTACTCAGAAGATCCCCGGGCTAACTACGTCTCTGAACCACGTCTTCACGAGCTCCAAACCCCAGGGTTGAAAATTTTACGGGGAACTCGTCCTAGATTATCATTATCACGACCATCGCTTCCGATTGTGACCTCATAGTGGGGAAGTACGTAAGGGTGCAAGGTCCCCAGCCGACCGGTTTTTTTTTTTGAAAGTAACCTGTAGTACTTACAAATAGTTGTGTATACTTCGAAAAGAAGAACATCTACTCGTCACTGTTTCAGCTTTGAAATCCTTCCTTCTATTTCCTATAGTACATAGATGAACATTTATTTCTCCTGCACTCATAGAACTTTTCATAAACATCTCCGCAGTCAATTGCCACAGTATTTTCCGTTATTCGAGCTGAAATAGGAGTTATTGGAAAAGAACACCGAAGATCAATCATTATCAGATCTTACTCTGCGGAGGAGATGAGCGTCCGAATTGGGTCAACCTGGTTCAGTAGTGATGGTAGATCGGCACCATAGAAGGAACAAGCTTGACCACCAGCGATCGCCTACAATCAATTAATCAGCACAAGTCCTAATCGATGATGTTTATTAGGTTTACTATTTTGGAGCGGGTGGAAGAAAAAAGGACTTTGAAGAGGATGGTGACGAAATACAAAGGGGGAGGGGCTTTACATTTGTCAGCGAGCGTTCATAGTTTAGGTGGAATCGCGCGATCACAAGTGGAATAGTGTTCACGCTGAGGAGACGGAGGACGCTAGAGAAAAACAGCCGAATGTCCATGTGTCTAGCTGTTTGCTGCCGAGTTTCAAACAAAAACGCCTTATTCCCTCTCTCATTGTCTCGTTTCTGTGTGACTGGCACCTATCACTCAATAGACTGAATATGAAAAATCTTCCGGAATCCGAAGACAACAGTCGATCAGAGGCATGAGTAGGCGCCGTCTGCTTTTCCTGAGCAAGAATTCGGCCTCAAAATGCACCGTGTTGACAAACACAAATAGGCAGAGACACACCACACCACGCAATTTATAGTTCGCTAACAGCTGTCAGCTGAGAACTTCCGAAGTATGACCGCGTCATCATTCTAGGATTATATAGCCTCACACTAAGTGAGCTCTACCTATCACTGCGGTGAATTCACTATGCTCCCTATGTTCCGAACTTTTTAGTCAACAAACCTGCATTCCAGGCAGATCCGTAACTAATGGACCGTAGCCGACAGTCACGATACCGTAATCACCGCTTTGAAGTATTTGTTGAGCCACCATTTGAGGTTGATCAGTGAACCTAAACAGATTGCGTTTATACTTTCCAAAGGGCACCTCAAAATTCGCACCTGCAAAAATCAGTCCACGAACTTTACACGATGAACTGATATAGCTCAAATGCATGTGATTCAATTTAAAATCATCCAATTAAAACCAATTATGTATATTTGTGGGCAGGGCTAGTGTGGTGGCAAGTGCGCACACTTTCATACACATAGTCCGTTGCTCGAATCCCGGCTCGATGCCTTGGCATGCCCAGCAAGCCTTTCATTCTTGAGTCAGTAAGTCGGTACCAAAGTCGCCTAGGAGGACAAAACGGTATTGACCAAGATCAAAAAACTTATTTTTATCCCGAGCTCTTTCTAAGGCATTACTCAGCCCTCTAAGCTCTTAATCAGCTGGTTGAGTTGGTTCCAAGTAGTCAACCTGAGATGATAAAACTACTGAGATGAACCTTAAATAGTCCTAGCTATTGAAAAGGTTAGAAATATTGTCAGCGTGATTGCAATCAAACATAGAAATAGGGTTCATGGCGTATCCAAGAGGGATTCGCCAGAACTGACTACGTCATGCTTCATGTCTACTGAAGGTGGCGGTTTTTCGAATGATGTAATATGGCACTATTAATTAAACCCAAAATCTAGAATAAAATATTATTATCACATTTATAATTATTAGATTACACGAGTATTGGCGTCCAATTTTTCTAAAATAAAAATTTCGAATTTCTGAAAGGATTTACCCAGAAGTAGCTGTGATGTAGAGTATGAGATGATTGCTGATATCGGTTCGATAGCCGGCATTTTTGAAGTTGGGATTAATTGCTGTGTAAAGGCTTCTGTAAAAATAATGGGATGAAAAACAGATTTATGGAAAAAATTCAAAAAATTGTCCCTAGCAGTAACGTACTGTGCCAAAGCTTGTCCCTGATCATCGAAATCGTTGTACTGCTTTGTCTGAGCAAGATAGCTCTGCAGTACGGTCATGGAATCGACGGCATTCAGATTCGCGATTACCATTGGACCGAAAGCAGCATTACCGAATACTGGTATTATCGCTACTCGAGTATAAGTTTGTGAAACGGCATAGACTGACAACAACGTGGTCACAAATTGTGACATCTGGAATTATTTTGGTAACTATTAAAGTAGATACAAAAGGTTTCTGGAAAATTCGGGGCAACTTATCGATTGATTAGACCGACAGTGGAACTACCCAAGCTGGTAGGGAGCTTAAGTCAGTTCTGATAGAAGAATTTGAGAAAGAAATATCTGCCCCGTACCCTCTGATGAGATACAAGAAGTGACTGCGTACGCATTGATCAACGATTGACTCACTATTTCATATATTCCGTCGAGTTCTGAAGTACTAGGTAACCTTTGAAGACAGTTTTCTTTATGGAACGAAATGCTCAGTTTTGTCTTTTCGTTGAATGCGAGTACTGTGCAGTGGGCGTGGCTTGTGCGACAGGCAGGGTTTGTGTAGTCAGGGAGGTTTTTGATTTTCATTCCCCTCTAATGAAGTCTAAGTTGCAAAAGGAACGGGTACAATAGGAATTGCAGGGGACAAGTAGTCTATCCCCAAAGGACTTAATGAGTTGAGTACCAAAGCCAAGTCACTTAGAGATTGTTCTCATTGTTCGTCGACTACTATTTAGGCTGATGTCGTGTAGTGGCAAGTGACGGGCTACCCATAAGCATAACCCACGGCTCGATTCCCGGCTCAATACTCGTCTGGCCAACCAAGCCGTTCAACCCTCTGGGGTTGGCCACTTGGTACAAACTGATTCGGGAGGATAAATGCAACGACTTGTACATCGACTGGCCATCGCAAGTTATTGTGTAGGTCACATACACATCGTACCACTACAATTCTGAGCGGAAGCCGGAAGCGGGGGCGGGTCCCAAATACGGGATTGATCCTTTGTACTTACACATCAACCAGGTCTCCGGAAGTTCTTCTTACACAACTCAACTCCCCTGTCCTTTGTGTTATGAAAAAAAACTGGTAAAACATACGTCATCATAACTCGTTGTCGCACTCTGGCTGACATCTATAAGGACGACGACGTCGAAAGTGATCGGTACAGGAGCCGGTGTCGTCGTTGGTGAGATTGTTGTCGCTGGTGAACTGGTTGTTTGCTGTGGTGGTTGGGTTGATTGTGGTGGTTGGCTTGATGTTGAACTTGTGAACGATGGTGACGTGACAGTCGGTGGCGTTGCAGTTGTAACTAAATAGTAAATTGGTTACAGGGTGACCTTTCATGAAAGCATCGTTCATGGTGGAATGTGAACACGTAGGGATGGGGCGCGGGGAGGGGAGAAAAGGAGGGCTTCAGTCATACTACTTCCAGCTTAACACCGTATATGGACATGGCGGCAGATGAGATTTCCAGAAAGGACACCCGGTTCTTCTCATCTATTCGTTCTCATCTCTACAGCGCCCGCTACATATGCTCATGAAGCCAGCGGAGTTTTCGACATTTTCGGATTCTATAGGAGACTTAGGAGGAATAGTGACTCTCAACTTGTCCGATGGCTCGTTTCGTCTTCTCTTAAAGGCACTGTTTACGAAAAAGTGGTTTCGGAGATTTGCACATGGTTTTAATTCGAAGCCCCCTCTGATACCATTTGTGCAGGAATGAGGTCGAAAAACGGCTGGAAAGGGCACAATAAGGGCAGGAACAATGGGGGACAGAAGGCCTCCGCCCCACGCTAGGCTGACTACGAGTTCTAATTGTCCTTCCCACATTCGCATTGGAGGAAGTTGGTGAAAGGTCGATAAGCTGGTTGGCAAATTGCCAGCGCAATGTGTTGTCTGCTATTGCAGACAACACATTGCCTCGCCTTCGTGCATTCGCCCGAACACTCCCTAACCGCC